TGTGTAACACTGCGCAATGTGTGGCGTAGCCGTTACACAAAATATTAAGATAAAAATAGAAATGATGTCATTATCACATGACTGCCGCAGTAAGTTGGTTCCAATCGATCAACATGCTCAGGACTTCTTCAATCCTCATTTACAATCTCACAATATAAAGAATATTTTGAAAGAGTTGATTTTTTTGAAGAATATTATTTTATTTTAAATCCTCATTCATTATTACATCAAATATTATTTTTTATATTTTTGCTAATAGCTTGAAATGATTGCTAATCCATTTTCTCTTTCCTCTTTTTTCATTCATCTTCAAAAATAAATTCAAGTCGTGATGACAATGACTCTGTGTATATTCTTCTTAGTCTTTCCTTATTAAGAATTGTTAGATTCGTTGTATCCATATTTTCAACATTTTTATGAAGGTCTCTCCATGAGACATAAACAAGAATGATATCATCTTCTGTCATATTAAGCTGTGCTATATTGCTTGTCTTAAAGTGTGGATATTCCAATTGTGAAGAATTACGAGTTCTGTTGGTCCAGAGATAAGGAAGATATTTATTATGAGTTTTGGAGTCTTTACTCTCTACACGACTTTTGGATTCTTTTGTTGTGCTGTGTGGATATGAAAACTTGCATTCTATATTAATTGCAATATAAGATTTTGTTGATGTATTTCCCTTAGATCTATTTCCCTTCAATATCTTTTCCTCAAATATCACCATGTCATGTCCACTTTCATTTGATGAAAGAGGTACAAATACAGCATCTGTCAGGTTTTCATAGGGTTCACCTTTCTCATCGACTATACCTTTAGCAGTCAGCCTAAATCTTTTAACAGTCTTTTCTTGCACCATGAACTTGATATTTTCCCAATAGAGCTGTTGTTTTTCTTGTAGTCTATATAAATCTTTAAGACATGTTGACTCTTTATTATTCTTCAAAAGCAAATATCGAGATATTACTTCCAAATAGGAATGAAAATGCTCAAATGGTGATCCATCATTCACTTTATCAAGAAATTTATCTTCTTCAAATAATAGACATCTCAAATTTTCTGCAAATACACCATAAGTTTCATCATATTCAAATTTAGAACAAAACTTCCAGAGTGCAACAGGTGACAATTTGGGGATTACAATATTAATATTATCCTCATCTCCTGAAGAAATAGTATTTATATAAATTCCTTTTGAAATGAGCATTGCAATATTAGCTTTTTCACCATCCTCAACTTCCAAAACATAATTTAGTGGCCTTGGAATTCCCTCCAGAGCTGCTTTAACTTCAGAAAAACTAATTTGAAACCAGGTACCAATATTCTTTGTTAATCTTGACAAAATATTAGTATAAGTTCCTGCTTCTATCTTACCTTGTTTTAAGATGAAATACAATTGTTCAAGTGACCTTGGGTGACCATTGCAGTCTGAAATACAGCGTTTGTTAAGGGAACTCATGTCAAATTCATAAAATAAATTTTTTGCCTCAGTAAAACTAATTGATTTCAATGGCACCCATTTTACTGGTCTTCCTGAATCTGTCTGAACTTTGGCAAAATATAGTGCATCAAGAGTTGAAATAGCCATGTTAAATTTATCCATTTGTCTGTTACTGAGCTGTGCTCCAAGACTGAATATTATTTTCTTAGGTGTTGGTGCCTTCATAATCTCATCTACACATAAAAGCAAAGGTTTATTCTCAGAATGATAATAGATACATCTCATAACATCATCAATGGAAGGTAAATCAGAAAAGGTTTGTTCAATGAATTGGATAAAATTACTCCAGGATAATTTCTGAGGATCAAAAAAGTAACTCCAAAGTATTCGTAATGCTAAACCTTTCATAGGATCTTTATCTTCATAATTTTCTGAAACAACTGATGATCCACCATTATAAGTGATGCATATTGGAATTGAATTTTCTAGAATCTTTTGAAATGTTTTGGCTTTTTCATCATCTTTATAATTTTCTTGTTGAAAAAAGCTATTTATATCATCAGATTTCAATGCTGCTAATTCATCAAGAAAGAATGATTTCCCTCCTCCTGGTGCAGATTGGAGAGCACATAAAGGATTGTATCGCTTATCATTAGAATTTGCCTTAAAACGTTCAAGAAATATCTTATATGTGGTATGTAAAGAAATATCCCTTTCTTTTCGCTCAAACTCTGCTTCTCGTTTACATAATTGATGAGGCCTTCTAAAATCTTTCTTAAGTCCTTCCTGAGATATAATAAGCTTAACTATTTTTTCAGGTGATTTTTCTGTATGAAATTGAAATTAAAAGTCAAAGATATTGTGGTAGCTTGGGAAAAACAATATAACATTATAATATAGATATATTACCATCAAGTTTGACCTTTTTGTACCCTGCTAAAAGCAATAATAAGAGCAGATATATGAATATAGTTTAAAACGATATATAATATCCATTTTTATAAACTCTTACCTTCTGTTTCATCATCATATCTTCTTTTTCCTAGTGAAACAATATGATAGAAAAAAAGACAATTTAAAAAGAAATTATTGATGGTAGGCAAATAATAGAATGTAAAAAAAAACCAAGTTAATCTACATTCCTTAAATGTAAGTATTTATTGCAAAAATTAATCTTACCTAATTCATGATTATTGAAATTGTAATAGTAATGATAAAAGAAAATAAAAAATAAATTCAGAGAATGAGTGGATGAATGAATAAACAAAATCGCCTATTTAGTTAAAGAAATTGGATAATTTTACACTTTACCTGCAGCACCTAAAGAAAGAGGAAAAAAAAAATCAAAACATAATTTAGTCAATGTTGTAAACAGTATACCAAATGGTTACTCAAAAAAATAAACGAAATGGAATGAACGAAAA